TGCGTACAAATACTGAGGAATAACAGCACACACATGTAAGCGTGAATGGGATCCTTCTTCATCCCTGCTGCAGTTTCACACGCCGAGTTCAGTGCCTTCTCAGCAGGCTGCGGGCAGGTTTCGCCGACCCTCCTCCCACAATCCTGGCTTTGCAGAAAAGCAGGAGAGGTTCAGGGAGGAGGGCAGGTAGGCAGACCTGAACTGGCTTCACAGAGCACATCACCTGTAATACGTTCAGGCAGAAAAGTTTAAGGAAAGAGCCTGATTTAGCAGTCTCCAAGCACTTGCCCGTGCAGCAGTGGACACGGTACCATCCACAGCACCGCACATTTAGGGGGGTGGGGTGTGGTGTCTGTGAGACGTGGAGCGCGAGAGGCTGCAAGGAGCACATCTGACGGGTGGTATTCTCATTGCAAGCGCTCTTGGTGCCACAGGTCCTTTGGCCCAGGCAGCGAGAGGTACCAACATGCTCCCACAGAAGTGCTTTTCTGCCCTGCTGTGGGCGAGCTCAGCCTCTGTCCCTGCAATGTTTGTGTGCCTGGCCACAGGGACGCTTCTTCGGAACACCGAAGGAAGCCTGTGTACCCAAGATTATTCACATCAGCCACGTGTGACACTTACAGGGGTAAGAGCACAGGTGACCAGATTTCTCATTTTATCAGCATGAGGTAAGACGATGATTACAGGACTTTTACCAAATTAAAAGAATAAACTTACCAGAGAACTCAAAATACAACCAAGCTACCAGCCTCATTATATTGCTTTCCTGGCACGGGAGTTAGCCAGAGAAGAGCAAGGACCCAGCACTTGGATCAATTATGTCCAGACGAAGGACCAGTTCTGATGGTTACAAACCCATGAGCTGTCCCCATAAAGCATTGAGGTCCCCAGCAGTGAGCGGCACATGAAAGATGTCCCTGAGCTTAAACCTGAAAACAGACTGACTCCCCACCAGAAGCACTGGCCCTGAATCCAACCTGAGGTTCAAGCAAAATCCTCCCTTTTAAAATTCAGACGAGAAGTCCTGATTTGGCCCATCTAAACTACACCTGCGTCTGTCAGCAGTCATTCTACTCTCAGAAGTTAAATTCTACCTGTGGGGAAGAGAGTGAGATTCAGATCAATCCCACAGACCAGTAATTACAAAACAGGCAATATTCTTATTTACACTTTATAAGCTGTAAGCGTTGTCTCTGTGCTTTCTGATGGATGCTATCCCCACTTCCTTTGTTACACTTGTCAAACACTCCAGCTCTCAGCAGCAGCAGCTAAACTCAGGACTTGCAGTGCCAAAGTTCACCATTTTTCACCTTAATGCCACTGCAGTGAAGAGGCTCTGCTGGGGCTTTTTTGTTATGAGATTCTGCTATTTCAAAGAGCCTTTGCTAGAGAACAATTTCACATCATTTAAACTATACACGTATAATAAATTATACCTGTCTAAATAAAGCAATAAAAAAGCACTAATAAGAACTCCATTTTTAACAGTTTAAAAGGGCATATCATACAGTTTATTCTTGAACAGAAAAGGGAATCATACTGAAGATGACAGTGTATCATTAGATATGGTAGCCGTTACAAAACTCTGCCACCTCAAATCACAGAGGCCAAGTATTTCCATTCTTTCCTCAGGACTAAGCAAAGACTCAAGCCATAAGGATGCCTCTGTGGCAGCCCTGCAAATGAGCACTTCAGTCCTTACGTCTTATCCCATATATAGTTACACACATTGCATGTGTAATTGAATGCAAATAAAACAGCACATCAACCATTTAGTTTTCTTGAGGAAAACAGACTTTGTTGGTCCACATCTAGTTACTTCCTCCCAGTAAGTTACTTCTGACTGTTGAAAGTGAATGAAATCAGGGATGGAATAACAAACACCACCACAGAGGATTTCCGGAAGCTTGCAATAGCAGGACTGAACTTTGTCAAATTGTAAAGAAAAACACAAAAACAACCCCCCGACATGCGATGACTAAAACTCTACTAAGAAAAGTGACAAAAAGAACAACTTTATTGACCAGCCAGAATGAAACCAGACAAAGTGAGAGGACTAAGTGATGCAGACAATCAGTATTTGCATGTCTGACATACAAACAAAGGCTTCCATCTCGCGGTCCTTACCCAAGCAATATTCCCACTGACATCCAGAAACACTGAACCTGGTAAGTTCTGGCAGGCTGAGCCTCAGATTTATTTTCACATTTTTTAAAAATACAGATTTTTATTTATTCATTGTGAATAGATTAAAAATACAGCATACAGCAATATCATTCCAAAAGTCTGTCAAATATATAGTTTTTCTCTTCAAAAGAATGTCAGAGTATAAGTTGTGCATATTTTTGTAAACAATTTCCATTTTCAAATTATTGTCAGTCCTATTTATTGTATAGCTAAATAATATGATACCACTTTAGGACAGCAGGTAGTCTACATCACTAAAAAAGTAGTATTTGCAAACCAAGAATTAATCATCGTAATTTTTCCACTGAGCTGTGTGCACATTTACATACCAGACCTACAGAGAACTGTCAGCAACTTTAGCAACTACTGAATTTAGCAAATTAAACTACACGAAAAACTGTCAATAATTACACTATGTCCTTTACGTACACATTTTGGATGGGCACATTCAATCTCCTTTCCTCCCTACATGCTTGGTGGTGGTGTTACACATGCTTCCTTCTCAAGGAAAATCTCAAAGACTTGGCATCAACACTTTATGAGGAAAACAAATCCTTTTGTCTGAATTTGTTTTACCACCCACACTGTAGCAGTTCTGCACGGAACACTGACTATTCAGCTGTCTTCAGAGGTGAATGGTGCATTCACCTTTCATTGAAAGCTGGTATTTGAATGCTATGAACTGAAAGAGCAAAAAGGCCATATTCAAAAGAGGCTTTAGGCACCTAAAGCAGAACTTTGGATAGGCACTTAAAATATCTGACTTGCAATCCTACAAACTCTGGTTCTATTTCAGCATATTAGGTCCAAAAAATACTAGGTCGAAAAATTTGGTTATTTTAGTATCTAGCTTAGTATCTATTTAAGTCCAGCTGAGATCTAGAAATTAGACATTCCTCCATTAATGGGTGAAAAGCTTCACCTTCACTCTCAAAACAAAATAAAAAGGCCATGAGCACTACTTTTCCACACCTCCTGCATTATACAGCAAGATGTGGCCATGCGTTGCAAGGCTACTCACGGCCACAACTGCCTGGTAGTTACAGCACCCACTCTGAAGTTCGACGCCGAAGGATAACTTTTCCTTCCCTCCTAGAAAGGATTCAAATCTTCCCGTATGACTTCCTTAACCACCAGGATATCACCTCTTTCACACAGTGGCAGTTGTTACTAATATCATACCTGGATACTGTTTAAACAATAATTCAACTTGCCAGAAAGAGAGTAAATGAGGAGCACAACTTCGGAGCCCAGTGATGAGCACACATAGGAAAGGAAGAACTGATTTCTGTTCCTTGAGCGGTTTCTATATTTTACAAGAAATTCGTATTACTTGGCTATGCACGCAAGAAGTCCCAATGAAATCAACTGCATCATCTAACAGCTCGCTTAGTTTTAAGGATGCTTTTAAAAGCTTGGCTAAAGTGAGGCTGGTGAGCATTATAGGTCATTCAGCACTTCACAGAGGCTGCCCCTTATTCCTGTCAATTGACACCTTGGGAGACTGTAAGGCCAAGAAGGCAAAAGCTTCCATCTTAATCTCCTGCAAAATGACTGTTAACCACGCCCAAGAAACAGGAACAGCTTCTGTACTATCTGTTTAGATGGCACAGCAGCTTTGGAATAAAATACTGGATTTGGAAGAAACTTCAATCTCCATGCAACAATAATCCAACCACCACCATGTATTTCTTTTCCCATTACTGGTCAGGATTATGTAAACAGGACACAGAAATTCAAGTATTTGGGGATAATATTATTTTCTCTCTTTAACCATGAATTTTCTCTAAGTGGCGTTTGAAACCATTCACAGATCAAATGCTATTTTAAAAGCTATTTAAACCAGACAAAGTATTTTCTATACATAGAAATAGGTGAATCAACATCCTTTAACCTTTTCAAACATCCCTCTGGAAATGGTGGAAAGTGTATTCTCATTTTAAGTGAGGTGATCTCTCTTCACTGAAAATTGAGATGTCGCTGTAAAAATAACTTCAAATTACTTATATATTACAGCTTTTGCTACTGCACATCATTGGACAAATATCATATAAAATCAGTAAAATTTTACACAACTAGGTTTATTATACAGTGCAAAACGTGAAAATGAGAGAGGTAGCTGGATGCCTCACCACATGAGGAACATCAGTGATTTTCTGATTGTAAAATATGCAATATCTATAATGAATAAAACATATTTCTCCTTGAATATCCTCACCACCAATCCGAAGGCATCTTCCCTGCCCCTCCCTAAACTGTAAGGATTCTACCTGGAATTAATTTGAGAAGAATAACAGAAGTGCCCAATGACACCAGTGTAACACAATGGGACTACCTATTAAAATGAGTAGCTGCATGCTTAAATTGAAAATTTACATTCACATGCAAATTTGGTGAGATACACCAAAAATGATGAAGAAATGCTGAGAATTTAGGAAAACGTTTTTTCTGTATGTGGGGAGGAGAAGAAAAATCTAAACACGCTGATTGTTTGCTGTGTAAAAAACAGGACATGTGAAACCTAAACAAACATCAGCTTCATTTTTCATCAAGAAAAACTAGGCCCCTCAGTTCTAAAAGTTAAAAAAAATACAAAAAGTCAAGTGTGCCTGTATTACAGCTTTGAAACACTAGCAGAAGTATGCTATGGCACCCTACGTACCACTTATATTTGGATTTCTCCCCTCAAAAAAAATTAGAAAACTAAAATACAAAAAAGAAACTGGCACTGCCACATAAAAATACGTATTTTTAGCTGCAAAGGCAGAAAGTCTATAAAAAAATTTATATACAAGAACTGCTTAATTTTGGTGTCATCCTTCCATCATTGCCCAAGCTTCTTCTGCTTTTTGGTAGTACTGATTTGCCAGTCTGCCTTTCATGGCTTCCATTGCTGCTTCTGCTGCTTCTGTGTACAGCTCACCTAGAGGAGGAAATAGTATCAGTTATGTCGACAGGGTAAAGAAAAAAAATCTCTTTATCCTGAAGCAATTAAAGAGAAATTGAGGTCAAACTACAGGGCTGATGCATGGGTGCATTTTAATAGTGTCAGCAGTTACATCAGCTGGGAATCTGGCTTTTGCTCTTCAAGTTGAAAAAGTTCTATGACTGGCTGCTGATGGGTTTTCAATGTATTTGCAAGGATTCAAAATATGACTGGCCTGTAGGAGCCCCCAAGATGACTGTAAGGCTTAGACACCTGCCATGTGGATTACACAATAACTAAGACAATGTTGTGTAGGGCCTGGGAATCGTGTAACTCAAAATACAAGCAGCAACCTGCAGTTCAGAGGCCTCACAGGGAGTGAAGGTTGCTTGCTAGTGACTCGGTGTGTCACAGGATTGGACCTGGCACCACCCACTACCCCCGTCACCAGCATGATCTCTTATTTCACTCTTTTCAGCCTTATACCACCCAGCATCATTACAGCTTAATCCACAAATCTGAGAGTACTGACCCTCTGTATACCAGTTTAAGCAGGAAATGTATTTTTTGGGTACATGTTGGGGGAAAAGCGAAGGAAAAGCAGGATTACCAATTACAGAAACAAAATAAGGACTCACCTGATCTCTGTGGATCCTTATTCAGGTGGAACCCTCCCATCATCAACATCTCCGCTTCCCTGGCCAGGAGCAGATACCGGGGCTCATCCTGAGTGCCATCATATTCACCTCCCTCATCATAGTCGGTCATGTTCAGCGCAGCATTGTACCAGTACAGCGCCTCCTTCCAATCCTGTGCTCTGAAGTTAAAAATAATTTTTGAGGATGGTTATCTTAAGAAACAAGTGTACTTCCCATTGGAAATTCAGAATTCAATTTTGCATTGGCTTCTCAGAGCCTTGATGCTCTCCAAGAAAACAAATGTTCTCATGGAGGCTCACTAACTCTGCACTGCATCAGGTCACTATATCAAATGAGGCTGCGATCACTTTATGCAGTAATTAGAGGAGAAAGTATCAGAGGAGGAAGTATCAGACTGAAGTGTGTTGCTGAACTCCAGAGTCTGAGCTTTCACTACTAGTTGTACGGTTTTGGTCTGGCATTTGTATTTCTGAAGATAACCGATTTAGAAACAATCAGAAGTTGCAGAAAGTCTTGTTTCATAAATACTTTAAAACCAGTGATTTTCATATTGAGAATGCTCAGCACGCTTCAATGAGAAGTTTAATGCTATTTTAAATTTCACCATTGCCAAGTGTTTCACTGTTGTGCATAACAGAAAACTCATGTAAATAACAAAGACATGCTACAATACAAAAGCAGAAAAATCACTATCATCACCTGTTTTATTTGGTACTTAGGGAAATTAATCACAGAATCATTAAGGTTGGAAAAGACCTTTAAGATCATTAAGTCCAACCATCAACCCAATGATATTTGTCCACTTTTAAAAACTAATCTAAAATGCTAAAAACAAAAAAAAAAATCAAACCAATATACTGTGTAGCCTTTTGGCAAATCACAATCTATTTCTTAGTCACAATGCTAATCCTATCTCTCTCTCCTATCAAGACAGGAGTGGCCAAATTAAGAGAGACTTACTGATGTTAAAGCATTTTTAAGCTCCTTAAAACTTAAAATTATCCTTAATTAAAAGTAACATCATCAGCATTCAGACTATGTTCCTGTGAAATTTACATTCCTACTTTTATTATGGGAAGCAGTGAAAGACTACAACTGTGACAAATACTTTGTTCATCTGACTCCGTCTCATCTCTAGTCACTTTACGACTTCACCTATTTATCCTGTTTCTTTTAGAGCTTAATTAGAAAAAAAACCCAAAACACTTTAAAAAAAAAAACACCTTTGCATTTAAAACCAAACATCACTAAGGAGGAGACACAGCAGCTGTAAATACTTTTAATGTATTTTTAGGGTACTGCACCTCCAAAACAACTCTTGTGTTAATTTGTTCCCACTGATCCCACAATTTTCAACCATGCAATTCCCACTGAGCTCAAGGGGAGTTTTATCACCAACTTCAGAGCAAAAAAGCTTGGCTATCATAGTGCAACCTTGGTATGAGGGAGAAACTCAAAACATGCAGGTGGATCCAACACATGCAGGTGTCCAACCGCAGAAATTAACTCCAATTTTCTTTCTGTGTTGATATACCATGGCCTAAACCCTGCTTTTATTCACACCTGGTTAAGTTTGAAGTAACTCGAAAAGCAGCTCTTTATGTGAATGAAAGACATGCAGCAAGTGCTTCTCCACCCCGCCACGGAGTACCACCAAGTTAAGTTTCTCAGTCAAGCACAGTACCTGTCTGAACTAAGATTTACACCTGTATCATATGCTCTTGCTACCAGAATCATGGAAGGCCGGTCTCCAGCTTCTGCAGCTCTCAGCAAGTAATCAAATCCTTTATTTCTGTTCTCCTTTGTGTCCTAGTAAAACAAACAAACCCTTTAAAATGTGTATTTCTAAGTAAAACCATGCTTTCCTTCCTCTAACACTAAATGCAGTTTCTCCAAGTCAGTAATGGCTGCGAATGTTTAATATGTCTGAGAAACAAGTCCAGCCACAAGAAACTAAGAAACTGAATAGGAAAGATCACTTCAAAAACTTCATGAAGGTATGCAGTAATTTTCTGGCAAAACCAGGAACAGGCAGCACCTTTTGCTGCTTTGTCCAAGTCCTTGATTACAAAGTAATATATTTTCTCTGAAGAGGCTATGGAACACCTAACTATGGTTACTGTTTTGTCTCCATTTCCTGCTATTCCTATGTTATTTTTACAATGGACCACAACTCTGCATTTTGGCATTTTCTTTCATCTTTCTGTTTACCTCCAGAGTGACCTCAGAAAGAATGTGATGTGGCAGCTGAGAGCACATGAGTCCTAACCCAACAATGGCTTCCAGCTCCCCACAGTCTGCAGCATGCTCCAGGTGAAACAGGGCTGACTCCTGATCCCATTCCTTGTCTTTCTCACAGAAACGTCCAGCTTCGTGATAGCGAACCATGGCCAAATGAACCTAGAACACAATTGTACAGGAAAGAGACACAAGGATTAAGTATAGATCTACTTCTTCAAAAACCCTATGTCCATACTTCACTTAGGCACAAAAATACCTCTCTGAGGTGACTACTTAATTAAAGCTAATCGTGTACCTCTGTGACTGAGCAAAGGACTAGTTTGATAACACACGGACTTGGAGCCTGACTTGTGGCTGAACGGATTAAACAGGCAAAAAACGATGATTATACACAGTGCAGCTGCCTCTCCAGTTCTGTAAGCTTAGACACATATAGCTTTAAAAACTTGACTACTAGAGATAAAAGACCTAATTCAGCAAGACAGTAGCTGCCACAACATCTTCCCACATTAGTGTGCCCTAAGCAGTATCCCAGCAGGTTGCCACACCAGAGCACCAGGTCTTAGGGGCATCCCTCAGCATATCTGCTAGGGCACTGGAGACCTTTACGAGGGAGTTGTAGCTAAAAGCACCCAGCCTGCAACTGCCTAACACGCCAGCCAGCAAGGCAAACAGCAGTGACCATGAGTCACAAACTTCTTTGTATAGCAAGGGCTCTCACAGGAAAGGAATTAACCTGAGCCACAGAAAAACCAAGGTTATCAAGGGTAAAATGCTCATACCACTGAAGGCTTTATTGTCAGTGGGGGCAGGATTTCATTCCAAACATGTCATGGGATTTTTAGACCAGTAACCATAAGTTGCCTATTTGCAAGGTATGTGGGTCAGGCACACCATATCTATCCCATTGGATGTCCTCTGCATGACCCCTCTGGAAAGGCAGACGAACCAACAGCAGCATCCTTCTTGAAAGGAGCCCAGATGCTGCAAGTCCAAAAGCAGATGGAATTCATTGGTTCCTGAGCTTAGATGTCCCTTATAAAATATTATTAGGTGACAGAAAGCTATAGACATATTATTTATTTTCATCTGCACAATAATGCATGCAGGGCAACACTTTTATGTAGGTAATAAATACAAGATGTGTCCTCCCAGTGGGAAAGAACAGGATTACTAGACCCATCGTACCTTCCCAAGGACTGACTTCCCAATTTTCTTTTCAAGTTCTAGTGCATTGAGCCTCTGAATTTCTTGGGCAACACAGGACGGTCTGTGGATGTGGACTCTGGAAGAGTTGTACAGATTCCATTTCTCCACACTGATCTGAAATAGGGAATATACTATTACTTCTATCCAAAATTAAAATTTCCATACTATTCATATGGGTTACCATCCAGAAATCAGTCTCCATTAATATTATTACTTATTAGTAAATACTGTACTTTTAGACACGGCTTTCAAAAGTCATGTTAGTAGCTGAATAAATGTGTATTATTCTTCATGAGGGAAACAGAATAAAGCCCTCTATTTCTAATCCCAACATCAAAAATCTCCCATAAGTGGCAGCAGCAAAGCAAAGCATTACTTTTAAGTTCTGAATCAGAAAAAAGGTACTTAGAAAAATAAGCACCTGAATAGTCACACTGCAAGCACTGAGGTTATCCATGCAAAAAAAAAATTAAACCCATACTTTCCTGGTAAGAATTTCAGTTCAAAACATTTTAAATGCTGCTTACATCTACAACTCTAGAAAAATGGAAGTAACAAAGCAGACGATGATAGGCAGATAACTTGTGTTTCTCAGGATGTCCAACACAAATGAGAACAACTTTTCAACATAATGGGTGAATGGGAAACCGTGGCTGAAAACAATCCAATCAGAATGAAAGCCTTTGGAGGCACACAGGGGAAACACAACAGGGACGGTTACTGGCACAGAACTTCAGTCTGTTAAAACTGTTTCAATTTCCTGAAACAGCAATATATAGTCATTAAAAGGAAATTCTGAAACACGTATCTAATTAAACTATTCATTGTTCTCAAAGCTGTTTTTCTTTCCTTGCATAATAGAGTTATTTGTTTAAGTTCATAGCCACAGAAACTAATTATCACAGAAGCTATATTTTGTAAAAACACACAAGAAGGGCTGGTCTTCCCTAGCTCAGTTAGATAAACAGTGGAGAGAGCTACTATCACGTATTTCAAACACTGCAAGTTTTTTAAAAAATCATCCAATCACAACTGGGACACAATTCCAAAAATAAAGTGCAGAAAGGAACTATAATCCAAAAAAATCCATAGACTTTTTTTTTTAAGTGAGAAACTTATGTAAGGGATCAGTTACAGAGGTGACAATTTGTTTATAACAGCACTTCTTTAACTGGAAAATAAAGACAAAAAAGGAAACAACACAGAGTGGTAAGTTAATATTAATAAACATATTCTGTAGCTGGAAAGGAAGAAAAACTGACATCTGATTTAATGAAATTAGATGGCAGATGAGTGGAAAAAACGACAAGCAGAGTGGCAAACTCATTGTCTATGAACATTTCTGCTTTATTTACCCTTGCAGAGCTTCCCAAACTGTCTTCATCAGATTCATGTCTTCGGTTGTTGTTTGAATGGCCCTACGTTAATGTAAAAGTTTGCATAATTTAATTTGCAGCAATTGATGTGTGCCAGCGATCCCTCTAGGCTATTTCTGTCTAGCAAAACTAATAGTGACAATGACCAAAATAATTTCCCCTGGATTTTTTTCTCTCAGTGATATCGCAATGTAAAAAGAAACATACTGAAATAGTAAAGAGTACAGCAAACCCCGTCTTTAATCCTGTAAACTAGATATCCCATGACAAATACCTTGCCACTTCAAAGGTGACAAAAGGAGTGGTATCTCTGCAAGCAGTATTCTCGGTCCAACTTTTAATTAAATATCTAGTTCAGATCTTCAGGTCAAAAAGCATTTATTTAATAGTTCATATTATAAAGGTAACCAACTAACTCACAGCAATTCTAAAGTTGCATATTATCAACTGACAACAACATTAAGTTCTGTGATATCTCAAGCCATATAAAGTTATAGAAAGAAGAGAGGGTAGAAAAGTCTGAAAGTAGATCATACTCATGGATTCCATATGGCTGTACTTCTCAAATGCAATACAGAATACCTAAAGAAAACCCACAACAGTATGCAATCAAATATAATGTTTGAAATTAAACTAGTTACAAATAGCCTTTTTTCTGTAAAAGTGTCATTAACATTCCCAAGATGAATAAATAATTTTGCAACATGTGGGAATTTCTTTCCAACTGTTTCCTCTGTTTACAAAGTCTAGATCACGAGGGATAAAAAGTAAGATTCTTCTATGGAAACAGTTCAAGTATGAACTGGCCCAATTCTGCTAAACCCAGAGTCAGGTTCTTACCCTCTCTCTGTGATCCAGATCTTCTAGCTCACTTCTTTTTTCACTGGGATATCCACTGTCTCCACCATTTTCAAAATCCTACAGAAGACCAAAACATCACAGCATTAGCACAACCCTTTGTAAGGATCCCAGCTTGACATTTCCCACAGAGAGAACCTTCTGCTCGTTCAGTGAAATATGCTGGATGGATATACTAGATGAAAATGATTCTGTGTTGTGCTACCTCTGGCTGACAGAACAGAACTTTATGACCCAGAAGGTACTGTCCAAGCTTGTGTTCTCTCTTAGGTACATTAAAAAAAAGAAAAAAATCAAGGACTCGCATACTATATCAAACCAAGAGTCCACTTAATATAGTTTTCAGTCTTCAGTGGTAGCCAGTTAAAAGATAAAACGGTAACTGACAGCCCCTGGTACTACGGCCCTAGTATTGGAAAATTCCTGTTGCAAAACTTATTGCAGTCTCCTCAGATGAGGTTCACTAACAGCCCACAGTACCAGTATTTGCAGAGACCTAACCAATGGGAATTCGGTTTAGCTTTCATACCACAGCAGTTGGCACAAGTGCAAAAGACACAACATGCAGGCAGGGGAACAGACACACTCTTTAATTATCTATTGAAATACACCAGATGCAAATAAATTTCTGGAGGAAAAAGAATAATTAATACTATTTTAAAATAAAATGTTCTTCCTTATTAGAAACAGCAAATGCATGCAGGTAACATGACCTGCAGCAATGGAAGCAGGCCGAGCACCCTTATGTGCTTATACTGAACAAAGCCTTCAGGCAGTCCTTTAAAGACACATTCATTAAGAAACTGCAATCTCATTTTTTTCTGTTGGAAAGACACTCACCCTTTGGTTATCAAGCTGATCATAGTCTTTGTGAACCAAGTTATCTACTTCATTGAACACAGGCCAATCTAGGAAGAAAAATATTTGCTTCTTATTGTAAGGATAACACGCTGGAGGAAAAAGCTCTAGATACCATCATTTTACTGCATTTTTTTTCACAGAAGCATTTATGCATTGATTATCTACATATAAGTACTTTTAGTTTTATTTCTCCTCAAAGAGGACTGCTAGAGACAAGTTTTCTGGACTAAATACAACATGCTGTTGTGTTTAAAACCAACAAAATAAAACAAGTCACTGCCCAATGTTCAGGAACCCCCAAGGAAGTTCTGTACGAGGCTCACTCACTAAGCATGTCCATCTTTTGGCTGTGAGGGGTTGCTGAGGAAGGAGAGCAGGGTAGAGAGTCAAATGCTACATCGCTCATGCTTTCATCTCCAGAGTTTTCAGACAGGCGGAAGAGCAGAGGAGGCCGACTACCAGAGACTGTTCTCACCCGGCTGCTGCCACATTTTTCCTCTGTGCCACGGAGAATTGTTTGAGCAGATTCCTTGGCAAATTAACAAGAAAGTCCCATGAATAATGCTTCTCTGTATTCTAAGCATGCTACATAAGCCAACATGAATGTTTATTAGGAGCCCTCTACAAAAGCAGGGGGTATAAATATGCACTTGTACACATAACTATTTGCTTTGAAGAGTTCTACACCCCAACAAAATATCAAGTCCTGGCACTGTCACAGTCAGAGAGAGTTCTGTTTAGGACTGAATTTCATTCAAAGCATTTCATCAAGTCCCATTCCCAATAATATCAGTTGAAACTCAGATCAGTTAAAGACAAGCAGTTGTATTCTTTTTATCTCCCCAAATTAGGTTTGTGAGATACGAAACTTAATAATGATTTCAGCATTCAGAGAAATACTTGGTCCTAAATATACATATGTTACAAAGTTCCCTATTAATTAAAGCTACAGCATTAATTCAGAGACAAGTATGGATAAATCAGCTTTAAACTGCTGTATTTTAAACTGCAATATTAGTGATTAACATAGTTTTATTTGCCATGTAAATAGCATATTTCAGTTTTATTTATAGGGCTTTTAAAGTTAGAATAAACCAGCTATACTGCTTAGTTACAGTTTTTTCATCAAGCACTTACAAGCAATTTTTTATTACAATCCAAGGCATCTTTCTCTTTGGATGAAAGATCAAACGGTGCAAGCCCCATGCTTTTGCAAATCTTGTTGCAGAAATGAGAATGAAAGAACAAGGCCATACCTCGAACACCTACGGCATTAAAAAAAAAGTGAAGAAAGGGTTTACTCAAAGTTTATACAACAGTTTAATTATCAAAAGCTAGAAGTCCCAAAGCATTTTCTAAAAAGTCCAAAAGAAAAAGAAAGTCCTTTGTAGCACACAGAGTTCAACCCACTTCCATTTTATTTTAATACCTGTAAGGGTTTTTCACTCTCTCTGCAAGAGACAGTGAAAGGAAGTCTGCAATATCTTCAAAAGCTATGTATGCACAGGATATAACAATAAATTAATTTGGCTGCGTCATTAAGAAACATGCCTAAACTTGATTCTGCTTACAAAACTGCCAAGTCCTATGTATGGACACTCGGAGCTTTAAAAATATGCAAGGCTTATCTCTCCACATTCATCTGTGTCCATTCCTGCAATGGAAGGAATTTAAAAGGAAATTAAAGGCCATGATTACTGCTCTCACATTGTAGGAAGCTACTTAATTTCATTACTTTTTTGGTTTAAGAGTAGGCCAGGAGACATGAGCCAAAATCAGCTCTCATTTTAAATCCACCCTTGACAGCTGCCCTGTTCAGGGACTCATTCCAATAGAACTTTCCCAGCTGTTTGCAAGACCCTCAGAAAAGTGCCTGCTCACTCAGCCGACAGCTGGGAAGAGAAAACAAGCAGTCATTAGCATGTGAAACAGGATCACTGATTTTACCTAGGTTGCCATCTCCAAAATCTGTACCGTTCTCTGTATGGATCTGAGGGTCCGTGTAAAGATCTCCAACTCCCTGGATATCAACAATAATGAGTTGGTGTCCTGAGCGCTCAAAGGTGAAGTGACTAAAGGCCTGGGAAGAACCACAGAAAACGTCTGAGAAAACTCTCCCTTGATCTACCAAAAACAGCAAGACATATTCACCCCTTATAAATGGGCAAAGAAGTTGATAACCCTGTTGGTGAAATATAACTGTACCAACACCACGATGACAGCAATGAGAGACTAAAAGCATGTAGTAGATTGCTTCTCCAACCTATCCTCACTCACAGATGGGTAAAAGAGGTGGGGTGAAAAGCAGCAGTGGGAACATGCAGGAGAGAGGAGATTACTTTATTCCTCCTTCCTGTACTAGAGATTCTGTTTTCCACCACAGTCTTCACCTTAAGAAGTGGGGAGCTGCCTGGCAGAGAGAACAATAGTAGGCTCTGAAGCCAGTGCAGAATAACTTCTGCATAAACATCCTGGCTGTGCCTGCGGATCTCCCAGCTCTGCAGCCCTAGGACACTGCCTCCTTCTGCCAAGAGGCAAAGCTCTCCCACATTTTGAAAACAACAAACCAACCAACAAAAAGCCCCACAAAAAAACAAAAGTGAACAACCCCAGAAATTCTACCTCTGGGAGGTCACCCTGAACAGCTGATCTGGTTCTACATTTGTGTATCAGATAATAAAATGTACATTTGTCCTCTTTGAATGCAGCGTTTCAAGAATCAGGTATAAAAACCCCTCTGTTTGGCATAAAGCTGAGACATTAGGAATCTTCTGGGAAGGCCTCCAAAAAAGCACTACCAGGCCTGGGGGAGGTGACTGGTGGTGATAGACAAACTTTTTAACTGCAGCAAATCTCACAGAACATTTTGTTCCCAACCTGTGAAAGCATAGCACTGATTCAGTGTACAGAAGACAGCCCAGAACATAAAAGAACATAAACCCTCTGCTTACATTAAGCATCATGACAAATACCTTAAAAACAGGGGAAAAAATGAAAAGAACAAAACTCTCAAGCCCCAGTAAAACACTGCTTCGCTAAGCTGACCACCTTGCATTTTTTGCCAGTATTTTAAAGTTTTTACGAGATCCAAGAATCACTTGAAATCTATTCTTGCATTTCTATACACAATTTCAGATTCACCTATTCAGAAGCTGTAGTTGAAAATACCAGACTCTTATATGCAAATGGACAAGATGTTTAGTTACGTGAGTTGGGTTTCTCCCACCTCCTTTTCTGTATGAGGCACCAGAAGACTATTTAGTACATAGTACATGAGAGGTCTCTCCCCCTACCTGAATTTGAAGAGAGTTTGAAATATGTCAATGCCTGCAATTATAATTAGAGTCAAAGGGCATAAGGTTTCCAAAGAGCATTAACCATATTCAACTCAACTAAAATCAACAGACACCAAAATGCAATAAAGAAGCACTCAGAGCTTGAAAGAACAGGCCCCAAATAAGGGGCAGACATACTGCAAAAAGAGAAATTAATTTGGCATTGTACTGGAAAGCCTGCAGTTTCCTTTCTTTGCAATAATGAAGGATCTCTGGATAGAGCCAAGAAATTCCCTGCAGCACACTCTATGGAAAGCATTAAACAAAGCCTCACTTGCGGAGTAAGACGAATGTTGTCATCTCGCACAAATCCAGAATTTGAGTTGTATTTGATGTATTTGCCCTCAATGTAATGTTCCAGATGAAAGAGAGGCTTTCCAGGTCTGTTCTTCATTTCGATAATACACGTCTGTACTATATCCACCTGGGGAGGGGAAGAAGATAAACAATGACTAACAGAATACTGTCTTCGGATCAAAATGCATGTGAATCCTCCAGCTGTGAAAACCTTCCCAATAAAAGAAGCTGAACAATTGCAAAGATCTGTCTGTTTAACAAGGGGGTGGGGGAAGAGTCATGTGCTTCTTAGGTTATTGGAGGAATTCCATAAATTAAACGCAGTCACTTCAAAACAGCTCACTTCTGCAACAAATGCCTCTGAAAAATTCTTAGTAAGTGCTGGCTTTCTATTCTATTTTTGTGGTATCTGAAGAGTACAGTGCAAAGAGTCTATACCCAGACAGCAAAAAAACCAGTAACTACTGCACAGTTTGAAGAAATGCCTCTTCAGAGAAAGACTGAAGACTTCTACCATTCAGGTATTTCTGTATTCTGCCTCACCTCCTCCCTCTGTCCCAGATGCATCCCTAAAGGAGAAACCATCACAACTCTCACTTTGCTTACATTTTTTCCCCCACATGGCATTTAAAACTTCTAGATTTCTAGATTCCTCTCTATGCACTTCACTCCATAGCTCACCTTGCTGTTATGAGACAGTGTCGTGGTTTAGCCCCAGCCGGCAACTAAGCCCAACGCAGCAGCTCACCCACTCCCCCTCCCCCAGTGGGACAGGGGAGAGAATTAGAAAAAAACTTGTGTGTTGAGATAAACACAGTTTAATAGGACAGAAAGAGAGAAAGAAACAACAATGATAACAACAATGATAATACCGACAAAGGAATGTACAAGAACAAGTGATGCCCAATACAGCAATTGCTCACCACCCAGTGATCGACAGCCCGTCCCCGAGCAGCGATTTCCACCCCCCGGCCAACTCCAGTTTACGTACTGGGCATGACGTCGTATGGTAGGGAATATCTCTTTGGCCATCCTGGGTCAGCTGGCCCGGTTGTGTCCCCTCCCAGCTCCCCATGCACCCCCAGCCTGCTCGCTGGCAGCCCAGCACAAGAAGCTGGACTGTCCTTGACTGCTCAGCAACAACCCAAAACATCAGCACATTATCAACAGTTTCTCATCCCAAATCCAAAACACAGTCTCACACTGGCTTCTGTGAAGAAAACCAGCTCTATCCTGGCTGAAACCAGGACAGACAGGTAGTTATTAACTAACCCTCATATGGGAGGCAAATGCACATAGTCCACATATTCAAAAAGCAGTCATTTTGGCTATTAAATTGTTAAGGCCCACACACTGAGGCATACTTCTTGACAATATGTCATATTATACATCTTGTCACATATCACACACAGCCTGTGGTACAGCCAAGCACAGGAACCAAGGTACCACAGTGCATGTACAGCACCCTTCCTATAAGCCATCTCTCCAGCCATCTGAAGTCATAGTTACACTCAGGCATTCAGGACCAGCTGCAGATTAAAGGGACTTGAGAGCTTCATTGATACATACCATGGACATACTCAAAGAGGAGCTACTGGCTGGGAGTGAATTTACAGTTGCAGTCCCTCATCCTTGCACTTCAGTTTCTTGTCTTTTAACAAGCTGATTGCTGCTGGAGGTGTTTTTGTCCAGGATGCAATGGCCAGCTTTGACCAGCAGCTATCCAACTTACCAGCATGGAAAAATGCAAAGCTATGTTGGCTGTGCAAAATGTTGAGCATGGACCCCAGAACCAGAAATATAGTCAGCAAAGCAGTAGAACCACCTCTTCCTGAATCTTATGTGTTTATGCACATCCCTAGTGCAGAGGACAGGAGCTTCTCTTGATACCCTGAGCCCAGTCTGATATTCCATCCATGTGGGAGTTTTATACATCTTAACGCTTTGCACTTAGTTATTGTCACTGAGACACCTAAAGGAAACAAAGCCATGGTATCTTCCTTTTTTTTTTTTTTTTTTAAATTCTTGACCACTCTTCAGAAATGTTTTTTTAATAGCTTCGTAAAGTTCTTCTTAAAAAATAACCAAAAAAAGAGAAAAAAAATCAATGCTAGTTAGGTGTTTAGATAGGTTTACAAGATTTAAGCATCTACCTTCCTGGACCACTAACAGTTAAGTGCTTGCTGAGACTGCTGCTGGCAATAAATTCTGTGACATCTTTGGTTATCTCAAAAGCAGCTGGGCAAATATCAAAAAGAGCAATACAAACACCATTTTATTTTGGTCTTCAGTCGACAGCTGAGAACAGTCAATCACAAACACACAGCCCCTAATTCTGGAAATGTAAAGCGATTTCTGCACTTCATTAAAAATCAGCTACCATTTAATGGGAAACACGGTAAGGCAGAAGAATCTATCTAAGCAATTTAATGGAATGTGAACAAGTAATTCCCTCTAAATTAATTTGAAAACTAATCTAATAGGAGAGCAAGACTGCATTTTTGCTTAGCAAGATCTCTGAATCTACCTGCTTTGGTGGCTTGTGCCGGTTGTACTCTTCTCCCCAGAGTTTTGCTTCCATCTGAAGTCGGACATCCTCAAAATACACATCCCTGCCCACACTCTCTATGTATTGCTTGGCAACATAGTTATAGGCACCTTTCCAGTTCTGCGTGTGTAAGAAGTTGGACAGCTTTTTCCTGAAAGACAAATCAATCACTGATGAAGGAAAACCCAAGAAATTTAATTCAATCTTCCCCATTTCTTTGCCTGCACAGACAGATCCAGGCCTTGAGATTCGCATTACCCTCAGTCATTTACCAGATATTCTAGCTGAAAAGTGAAGCACAGGTAGGGGGCAAGGGAAAAAGCAACATCCCATATGAACGGCTGGGACATGCCAAAGTGCCTGTTTGGTTTGACTGCAGCTACTTCTACTCTTATCTTCCTCCATTTCTCATTTCCTTTCCCACCCCACTCCCCTCAAACCCAGAGTACAAAGGGTTGGTGCCACCTCAACACGCTGTTCTAATGTCAACAATTATTTTCTGCAGAATCAACAGAGAATGGGCTTTCAAACATGAACTAAGAGGAAAACCCTTGCCTACGATAAGAGCAAACTGCTACCTTCTCAACACAGAGGGGTGACTACTTAGTAACCCCCATAACCCCAGAAGGAAAACTGCACGTGACAGTTCTTATGATGTAGCTTTTAACTTCCGTTGACGTGCAAATCTTTAACCCACAGAGAAGGTGGCAAAAAGCCCAGTAACAATCATCCTCTGAGCCTTTCTTGGTGCCATGGCAAATTGTACGTTTTCAGAAACAACTAGCAACACTCAAAGTCTCAGCCCTCCCCTCCTCCCTTTCCTCTCTGCCTCCCAAGACCTTGGTGCAGTGGTAGAAGTACAAGTAATGTAAAGGATTACAGCATTAACATTACCTTTACAGGATGCTGTAAAGGTAAAGCAACTGCAGATTGTCTGTCCTCCTGCAGGGATAGGCAGACAGTCGCTATAACAGAGGCCTTGGAAAGAAGCAACATGCAAGTGAGAAGAATTTTGGCCAGGATTTGAAACCTTTCCAGTTCTCTGAAGAAACAGATTTCTCTGTATAAAACAAACGAGCTCATGTGCTCTTCCAAAGCCAACACTCTCTGAAGTTCATTGACCCAAGTGTAGCTAATGCTGTCACTGTAATGACTAAAGACTTGCAGAGTTGCAAAAATCTAGAAGAGAGCTCCAGATGGGAAATACCAGCACACCACAGAGTTATGGAAAATCCAGCAGTAGGAAGCTGACATACGAGTTAACTGCTTGTACAAAGAAAACTTAAGACAAAGATGCAAAGATAAATTTCTGTTTATGGCACTACTCAAGATATTCTGTAAAGGGGAATTTGGTCATTCAGAAACAAGAGCTAAAAGCTAAAAGCAGGCTAAGATTTGTTACTTCCTAGGCTTCATCCACTGCTGTCTCTGCCTGGCTTTGCAAGAACAGAGCCACCAGCACGAACTGATACTGAAACAATGCCAAACTGGAGGACTGAGGGTAACTTCTCCCTCTTTTTCCTCAAGTTCAAAACATCACTTTTTGTCATTCCAGAGTTTTTCCTCTTTCCAGAAGTGAAACCAGACGTGAAATGCAATTTCTCTCGATTCTGCAGTTGGAAAGAAGCGGGAGCGGCCTTAAGCACACGCATGTACATTTTCCAGGAAACATTCATTTCCAGAGCCTGGAAAGGGTGGGGTACTGTTCTAGCATAAACAGATTTAAAGTTCGGTGCTGATGCCCGCAACCATATTTGCTAACACTCCCTGAGGAAAGAAAAGTTCCTCTTCTGTCTTCCCCTATATTTTACCCTTCTGGAAAGAGTAACTTAGTATTCAAGCTCTGCCTTACTCAGAACAGGATTATTCTGGTACACGTAATCCAAAGTAAACTGTGGGAGGATAACCTTCTTTACCAAGGGAGTCTTTCTGAATTGAGATTGCACCATCCAACTATTCTTTCCCCTTTTCTCTGCCAACCTATAGGCCTCAAGTTGGCCTTCAGGCTGCACACACCTATGGCCTCATATCAACTTCAAAGATATTTTTGCACACTAGGAACACAGAAACAAATGTAGCTTCTTCTGTACTTTTATGAGTATTTTGCCTCCAAGAGATAGTGAAAATAGCATAAATTGATATGCTTATTGATAGGCTGATTATACTTGCTGGAACTGGACATGACTGCACATTATCCATCCCGCTGCAGATCCAGTACAGACAACGGCTTGACTTTCCAAAGCAAGCTCACTGGATGCCTGCATCATGCTTGCGTGTGCTTCCTTTAAGAGAATGTTCTGCTTTCTGAACCTCACTCACTGTGCTTCAGCTCGAGTCACACAAACAGGAATAAACCCCTCAGCTATGCCTTTTGGAAAGGCACAGCAGAGAGCTAATGGAGAGCTGTGCTTTACACAATTTCCACCATGGCTAAGTGAAATTCCAGTCACCACAGAAGAAAATACTGCACAGAGGCCAACAAAGATAAAGCCAGCAGATACTTACGTTCTGAAACACTCTCGCATTGCTCCACGGCCAAAAGGCTAGGGAAAAGAAAAAGAAAAAACAAAAACCCAGCATTGCCATTTCCACAAAGTTAATTTCTAACCGGTAAGAGACACAACCATGTCTTCCCCCTTTATACGCTGCAGAAACCGGTTCTCAAATAGGCTCTATACAGTGTACGTCTCCTCAAAAAAAAGTGACAACCCACTGGCAGTGTAAGTAGGAATCTGGAGAAAAGACATTGGTAATAAGCCCCCACTTCCAATATCCCATGGAGCAGACATGATATGTCTTTTAAAGAAGCTATTTAAAATCCCTCTCCAGTTTGGAGTCAGCTCTCTTTTGACTGCCTAGAGAAGCTGGCTTCGCAGATCTCATGCTCTCTGCTTTTAGGCTTCCATACAGAGCATCACCTCCCCAGCTACCACATACCATGTCAGTAGTACCAAGCGAGGTGACTCCAACACACCACCAAGCCCATGATTTAACGGGGAAGTGACAGTAGCTTCTACCCTCGCAGACCAAAAATTCAGTCTGTTTTCATCCTAAGAGCAGAAATTATTTGGAAGCACACAAAATAGTATGATTATTGCCAGGCAGGGAGATGAGGCCAGCAGAAAATGGGAGGGCTGAAACAGCAGGGAGATCACTGGGAGAGGAAAATGCCTCCTTTTGCTGATGGGGAGGGGCTGACTCCATGTTCTACTCTAGTCTGGGGAGAAAAGGCTGTTTTGACACCAAAACGTAATGGATGAGCTGAGGAAAAAGAGAGGGGGGAGAAAAGAATGACACTGAGACTTCAAAACTTCTACATGAGGAAAACATCTTGCTGCCACTATTCAGTAACAGGAAGGAAATCACAAATTTAGCTGCTAATAAACATGAAGGACAGTGTGATCTTACTTGTGAAGCCATCTTGATGAGGACTTCATCTTCAACCCAGTCCCCAGTAACTGCATTGTACCTGCAAAATCAGGAAATATGCCTCAGAAAAAAGCAGAGGGAACGCAGATCCTCCCATCCCCAGCACCTATCCTTCTTTATCTCTATCTGACTGCTAAAAAGTGCTGCTGCCACTCCAACACAAAAACTTCTAGTCTTGCCCACTGCACTCCTGCCCTCCTTACTTCAGGTAGGAAAGAAGAAATATGTATAACTCTTTGAAGAGACACTGAACCCTACTGAAAACAAACAGATTCTGCTACAGAAGCTAAGCTTTTGCAACAGTACAAATTAAGCTTTATCTGCTTTGACATTAAATCTCCTCTGTGGTGCCTAAACACTACACTGGAGGCAGAAAGAGCCCTACCCAAGCCCTACACACTGGACAGGTCATGTCCCCCAACCTTGAGCTCGCATAAACCTGGTTCTGGCTGGGGATCTGCCGCAGGCCTGTGGAGGATGCGAGCAGAACATAGCACCAACTGTGGCTGTGAACGGCAGCAGGGCCAAGAACTGCCCAACACTGCTCCAAGGGAGGAGCAAGTCTCTGCACAACCTTATGATAATACGACAAGTACAACTGTGGTTTCTCCCCACCCCCTTAACTCCCAACACAGTAAAAGCCAAATTGAGAACCACAGCAGTTGAGTCACCAACACAATTATTTCCAGCCTGATTCCCCCAACCTGCACAGAGTACTTCATGCATGCAGACCCCCATACATCCCTTCATAGGTTCTGTATCACCCCATTTTGCAGCAGACAAAAAGAGATGGAAATAGGAATATCAGAGCCATCTCTTTTTAATAGTGTATTTGAGTAGCCCTAAACCAATATTATTACTTATTTGTATTTTAAAACATGGAAACTGTTTCAGGACTGTGTGGCTGACCAGGGACAGATGCAGTCTATGGGGAAGAAGAGCACCGTATGACAGTGTTACATGATTGGAAGGGAGGCCTCCCCAAACACTGATGCTAAGTGGTAATTAACCAGCCTCTAACTCCTACACCTTCCACCCAGAAACCTGTGTCAGTGGGGTAAATGTTTTGGCAAAGCCTGTGCTAAAGCACTGAGAATAGTTTAAGGGCCAAGCTCAGTTTCAGCACGTACACCATGCTGAGCTATTCTGGGCTTTATAAGGATTTAAATTCTGGCCACATGCAGCAGTACTGACTGCACGGACAAGCAACAGTGAAACTGCTATTTTGGGAAAGGCACAGAGTGTTATGTTGCTTTTTTTTCTAAACTATTTAAACTAAGTATGCTGTTTTTTTATTGGGATTCATTTCCTTATTACATTAAGTTTACAGCATTAATAAATCAACTAGAAAATACTTTTCAGCCTTGTTTCCTGTCTACACGGTCAAACTCATAGATCGTACTTAGGTGGGAGATAGAAAGTGTGACACTGGTTTGCTGAAAGGTTTACTTGTGCAGTATTTACATATTCCTGGAAGATTCAGTTAAGACACACTCACTTTGGGCATTACTGAAAGTTTGTCAGCCGTGTAATTACACATATTCTGCACTACACAAGCACAGCCCTTGCATAAACCAGCACATTCTGTTTAATATCAGCATTAAAAGCAGAAAGACCCACAGACCTGTAACGAGTGGCTTGTTCCGTCTCAATGTCCTCAAGATGAAATTCTGCCCATGGATCAGGCATGTGCTTAGCTTTCTGAATAGCATGTTTCCAGGTTTCCTGAAGAAGTTACAAACCATCAGGTTATTTATAATCAGCAGAAACTCACAACAACAGCATTTTCTAGAACAGGTCAGGATCCCAATACTATGAAGGTGTGCAACTACACAACCCCCCAAAACACTACTCAGAGCGGGGACAAAGCGATACAGAAGACCATTCTGAGATTTTACAGCTTCAAGTATAATGAAACACAGTTCAGAAATATAAAGCATAAGGTTTCAGTTCAATTTGCGCCACTGTAAAGTTATTAAGAACAGAATCTGATCTAGTATGTACCAAATGTAATTTGCAAATATCTCTAACATACGCTGCAAATAGTGATAAGTCACCCCTAAATGATATTAATTAACTTTTACTGTTTTGACTTTTAACTTTTGTAACTAAAAGCATATGCTGGCAGCGTAAGCATAAAAAAGTCCACTAGTGATAGAGCAATATGGACGAAGAAAAAAAAGTCCTGTAAGCCCCAAGGCTCCCAAACTGTGCTCAGCATAAGAAAGAAGAAATTAGAATGTTGTAAAAATAGATTACTATAACAATTCCAGACAAGTAGCTATTTCAATCTCCACCAGTCAATAGTTAAAAAAAAAAAATCAAAGGAGTTTTCTGGAATATAAACAGCCTTTCTCTACCAGCCAGTTTCGATGCTTTTCTCTTAACATTTTGATCTCCCTCTTTTTACATTGCACTGTTCCAAGAGAACTGGAGATATGATCATCTGATGTGCCAAAGGCCTTCTGCAAGTTGAGAAGCAGAAAGGCCACCCTGCACTCCCACCAGTAAAGAAATACTGAGCTCTGAGACTTTGTTACTGCCTCGCTGACTGAATTTCAAGTATGCAGAAACAGTAACTTTTAAAATACTGGTTTGGGTTTTTTCTTTGGAATTTAAATCTCAGTCTAATTTTTTAAAAAAATACAGTATAAATTGGTATCAGCAATGACACCAAAGAAGTTTCTGAAGCTGCTGAGCTTTTAAATTTAGTTCATGTTTATTTTTGTTTCAGCTGTAAATCTGCATACCTTGCAAACAGTTTAAATGCTCCCCTTTCTGACAATAAAACCACAAAATGAACACAATACTACAATAAATAAAACAAGTTTAAAAGACATGCTGAGAAAGATTTCCTACATGTTTCATAAGAAAAAGAAGTTGCCTCATATCATGCAATGATACATATTTCATATGGACCTGGGAATTTCCATATTTGAATATATAGGAAAGAAATAGGGAGAGACAGAAACAAGTAGAATTGCTTGGTCAATTACCTATGTCAACTCATTCTTGAGTAGGGTCCCTCTCCAAAAGGTAATCTGTGTCCATGCTAGGTAATGATTTAAATAAATTAATTACTTGTGCTTGATCTTGTGAGGTGCTTTGTAAAAAAGCTGTATTCTAATGTTAAAACAAATAGGAGCTGGACTTCACAGAAATGGTGCTAACAGTGCAATTTTCCTCCTGGTGTAGGCATATGGCTGCCATACAGACTAAGTACATGTCTTGCATCCATTCTATTCTTGTCCACAGTAGGAAATACTGTGAAGAAACAACTACAGATAAGTGCTTTAAAAGAAGTGGTTTTTCAGGGCAGAGAACAAAAGATGGGTGTTATTTAATTTAACAAATACCTTTTTTAGTTTTGACTTGATGACTTTCATGGACTGAGGCGAACAGTTCTCCCAGACAATAAAATAATTAACAAAAAAAGGCCATAAAAGAAAAAAAAAACCACGAAGGAAAAAAAAAAAAAACCTTAATGAATCTATTAGATAGGGTGTTCACATTTTCTTTTTAACCTACCCGACTATGGTCAACCACAGAGCCGTGCTTAGAACGATGCTGTGTGTCATTCTAAAGGATGCATGAGAAACATAAAAGTAGGAAAACACATGTGATAAAACAAATGATTGACAAAGAGTCTCTGTTCTCTTTGTTAGTTAAAAAAAAATTCCACTTAAAAGCCACTCTTCAATTTATATTCCTAATTTAAGTTCATTTTTAAAACATCTGTGAACAAGCCTATTGAGGTAAGTTGGCATGTTTTTTTGTTGGAAAACGTGCCTATTAACTAGCTAATTAAACATTGCTGAGTACTGTTTAAGGCAAAGAGTTAATACTAACACTTCTATCTATCTCTGCGTTCCATCACCAATGCCCACGCTGCCATTAGCTTTGGGGTCTGAGAAGTGAGCTCTGATCAGACCAGGCTGTGGTGGTTTAAGATGTTATCAGTCCTGGCTGTCTGCTTCACTCTGTGTTGTAAGTCATCATTTCTGCAGCTTAAGCAGCAGATTAAGACTTGCTTGCTCCACATCTCAACCCAATGCATTTTATCTGTGATAGGAGCTAAAATTCCAAATTAAACATTGTTGCGCCCAAAGCACAGGCACATGTATTCTGCAGAAGCAAAGTGATAGCTTAGGAAGGAGGAAATAATTGCAGTTTCTTAAGTCCTCGTCAGTCTTACCTCAGGCCACATGACTCAGAACTCACACTGCAAACCCAGAGGCAAGTGTTTAGTACATGCTAAAATGTATGCAGAAATGAAGACTAAGCTCCCTACCAGGTCTTAACTTGCTTACCATAGCATACACTAAAATCTGTCCCCTTGTCTATACTAAACTTTTACTTTTCACCTTCCTCAGGAATATGGACCTTTTAATGTTTCTATTAACTACCCTTGGTAAAAATCTTACTGTAGACAAGACAGTTTCACTTTTAATGTGTTACTTAATATGTTAACTGACTGAAATAAATCATCTGGTATCTCTCCAGGAATAAAGCCTGCATTAGGCATAACCAAGATTTTAGAGGATCTATTAAATAAATAATGTTAATATTTATAACAAGGGATGTGTTAACAAACACATTAAATCCTAGTCTAGACAAAATCTACCTACGAGACATGACAGTTTACCACAAATGGTGCGTATTTGGAATATCTAACCTATAGAGTGAATGTCACTTGCGTTCTCGAGGCTCCACTGCCTGTGGGTTTGTCTCCCTTTGCCTGGCCTGATCTGTGCAAAGGGAGCAGAGTGGAACAGGACACACTGCCAATGAAGCACCAACTATGGCCCCTTTGACCTCTCTGCAATGCTGTGATTGCTGTTCATTTTAAAAAGGTCAGACACTGCTCGAGTACAGTCAGGAACTACTGCCAATGTGACCCTTCATGCCCAAGTACGAGAGTCAACATGTTAAAGACTCCCTAAGAAGGAACTATAACCTGAAAACGTATCATTATAATTTTATAATTTACAATTTTATTCATCCAAATAAAAATATTATGGATTGTTAACTCTGCTTGGCAATGCAGAAAAAGATAATAAAATATCTTCTGCCAGGCCCCAATTTAGCTTACAACAAATACCATCTTTTAAATCTCCCAATCAATGTATTTCTTTTTTAATGGCTTGATCAAATGGCAGTGAATTGTTCACCTGGAATCTGCTGCCTTTGTAGATGAAGATGTCCCACTGAACTAAAAGGGGCAAAGTAAGTAAGCAATTCAATGGCAGTGTCAGACTATTGGCTTAATGGAATTAACCGCAGGTCTGGAAAGAACAGATGTGTTTTTTTACTGAAAAGGGTTAGTTACAAGAGATGAAGCAGTTAGAGAATCTCTCATGCCAACCAAGTAAAACCAAAAGCTTATTGAAGGCTGGAGCCAATACTTACCTTAAAGCTAAAAGAGTTTCTAGGAGAAGAGCTTGAACTGTACTGTCCAGTTTTTGCTAAGTTGCTATAGTAATTGTCAACTTTGATACTAGCAGACTTGTTAGAAACTGGATCATCAGTTATTGGACAGATAAAATAATTGTCTTCATCATCACTATCAGCATCAAGATAATTTCCAGAGTTCGCTGTAGTCGATCTAGCATTATCAATCCCTTCCATACGAAAAATAAGGTCCTCGTCTGCCATGATTGCGGGAGGTCAGTTTAACTCCTGCAACTACTATTCCAACACACATGCAAATGGAGGGAAGAAGCTGTGAGGGTGAGAGAGAGGAAAAAAAAGGATTGTTATTAAAAGAACAAATGGTGCATGAAACTGATGTCAGTACACTAGCAGAAAAAAATATCATTTTCATATGGCTCTATAAAAATGATGCCTAAGCACCTACGTGTGGTTTTAACACCTTGGTGCTAGATCTAGGTTTCCAGAAGGCACTCAGTTTTCAAATTGCTGCAAGATTGAGAAAAGAAGATAACCACATATACACTTATACTATAAAATCTGAGGGACTGCAAACACCACCTGCTGCCTATGGCTGGCATTTGTTAATGCTCCCACCTCCTCTGAATGTTTTTATTCTTCCTTATCGGAAATGCTGAGTTTCACAACACTGATCTTAGAAACTTGAGGGAGTTTCACCTCAAACACCACAGTCACGTTTTCAAATTTTTTCAGGACAAGTCATCTCAAGGATATTGCATACAAAATTAATAGCCAAAGGAGTTAGAGTGTATTATTGAGATAACACAGAAGATTGTCATACCACTGCCAAGATTTAAGTTGGCTTTTAGCTCACCTGCAGCCAATGGTCCACAGTGCAAATCATGCTGCTGGAAGTGCAAAGCACATTGGTCCAAGCTACTCAGGATGTCCTCAGAATGATAAAGTGCAAAAGAGGCCAAGAAAGGAGGCCTGCCATTCCACTGCTGCTGCCAAAGTGCACTTACTAGTAGACTAGAGAAGCAAGAGGAGGAACATGTAAGGGGTACCTCAACCCTTCTGTCTTTTACACTGTGTGAAGGGATTTCACCTTGGACCAGTCTTGTGTGATTTAAACAATCCTCTTCCAACTCCAAAGACATCAGGTAAGGCAGTCTGCTCAACAGCATCAAGCCTCTGAGTGGTGTTCACTTTAAGCATAGAGCTTAAAGGAAAAAAATATTCTCCCTGGTTAATAGTTATTTTCCAAAGAGTTTAGAAAGCTTGATTTTGTCACTGGTTATTTCAACTTTTTAGTAGCTTCCTAGATCCTAAGAGAACAGAATGGGTAGGGTTTGGCTTCTCCTGGGTCCTACCTCCAAAGTAAACTAAGCAAATTGAAAGTAAAAGCATCAGTGTGAGGCAGACAAGTCATGAATTTTTACTGAAATCTGATCAACGATTTGTAAGCCCAGAAGGTGACATTCTAGGTAAGTATTTTACTCAGGTATTCTGATACATTAAACAATGTTAGAGTAAACAATATGGGGAGTTCCATATGGGTATCAAAACTGCAGCTCTGCAAAGTCTCCCGTCTTACCGTTCCTTTTCCAAATTAGTGACACCAGTTTCAGGGAGGCAGAGCACACATACTGCTGCAATAGACACGTGTTATAAAAAAAGATAGATGAATCATGGAAGTATTTTCGGGTTTTACCACTGGAGATCTTACAAGACGAACGTGCCCAGCAGCCTCCACCCAAGAAACAGTTTGTGATGATTCAGCAGAACTCAAACAAACTCCTACAGTAGCAAGCTACAGAAGGCGAGTATCATTTCTTTCACACATTACCAGCCATACAGATGCAAACCGTTTCCATTCTTCCACATTTCACAGTCCAAAGCCACTAGCAGCAGGACACCAACACTGACTTTCGGAGAGAAAAGTTTGCCAGTTTCTAGGCCTATAAAGTCTCCCCCTTCCACCCCACGACACAGCTTCAGCAAGGCGGCCTCTGAAACACAAGGGTGGCCGTGACACCCCTGGCATAGAGTAACATTACACCTTCTGTGCAAGGGCTCATTTTAGTCTATCGTATATAGCATATGCTGCCAAGCAGAAGACTGGGGATATACGCCTGAGTAGGAAACTGGTGTTACCTGCCAGCCTGCCTCCTGTTCGGTGTGGTGCCTTTGTTTCACAGTGCTTCTCTGTAGCTCAGGCTCCCTTTCCACACTGTCAGCTTATTTCCTGGATACTCTTCGACTTAACGCTCTTTTTTTCCTCTGATCTCTTGTCCTTTTCCTGCTTAGCCCACTTGCACAATCAAGTACATATCTATGGAAGTTTCTAGCTATCGAGGAATGTGTGAACAACCAGCGTGGAACAGGTCCATGATTCATCTCTTAGCAGCTGCTTTAAAGAGCAAAGAAACCTTCACAGAACAATAATGTATCCCTATTCACATGTTCTTCTAATTGTGAATAGTTCACGTTTTCTGAAACTCTGCTCTCATTAACTGCACTAACTCTAGGTTTCAAAGTAATTTCCTTAAGTCTCTAACAGCTGTTTTTGCCAAATTTAATGGCTATCTGCAATGACACTAATACCCCGTCACATCAAAAGCTCAGACCACACTAAAGAGAACACACAGGCTGAAGTGCAATGACCTTTCTGCCAAACACGTTTGTTAATTGTTTCTTCTATTGAGAGTACGAATCACAGAATAGTTTGGGTTGGAAGGGACCCTACAGATGATCTAGTTCTAACCTCCCTGCCATGGGTAGGGACACCTTTCACTAGACCAGCTTGCTCAAAGCCCCATCCAACCTGGCCTTCAACACTTCCAGGAATGGGACATCCACAACTTCTCTGGGCAACCTGTCGCAATGCCTCACCACCTTCATCTTCCTGATAGCTAATCTAAATCAATCCTTTTCCAGTTTAAAGCCATTACCCCTTGTCCTATCGCTACAGGCCCTGCTAAAAAGTCCCTCTCCAGCTTTCTTGTAGGCCCCCGTCAGGTGCTGGAAGCCTGCTACAAGATCTCCCTGGAGCCTTCTCTTCTCCAGGCTCAACAATCCCAAGTCTCCCAGCCTGTCCTCATAGGACAGGAGTTCCAGCACTCCAAGCATTTTGGTGGCCCTCCTCTGGCCCCACTCCAACAGGTCCTGTGCTGAGGGCTCCATAGCTGGACGCAGCACTGCAGGTGGGGTCTCACCAGAGCAGAGTAGAGGGGCAGAATCATCTGCCTCGACCTGCTGGCCACGCTGCTTTGGATGCAGCCCAGGATACAGTTGGCTTTCTGGGCTGCCAGCACACATTTCTGGGTCACATTGAGCTTCTCATCAACTAACACCCCCGAGTCCTCAGGGCTGCTCTCAATCCCGTCTAGCCTGCATTTGTGCTTGGGATTGCCCCGACCATTGTGCAGGACCTTGCACTTGGCCTTATTGAACTTCATGAGGTTCGCACAGGCCCACCTCTCAAGCCTGTCAAGGGATGGCATCCGTTCCCTGTATGTTGCTTTATGTTCCCTGTATGTTCCCTGTATGTTACAACATACAACTGATTCCTCTATGACTATATCCTGCTTGGAGCTTTTCAGGTCACTCCACTGTTTCCTGTTGCATTTTTATTGAATGCTGAGGTCAGTCAGCAAATCTGATCACTGTGAAGCTGACAGCAAAGAACAACCTGACTCATTAAAACTCACCAGAAGAATCTAACATCTGGGCAAGAACCCAGAGGGCATGAACACAGCACAGCTTCTTCCACACTACAAGTACTTCAGTGAACTGAAGGGGCAGGTCTGTAGAGCAGCACAGCTGTGTTGAGGGTCCAACATCCTCACCATCCTCCTCTTGGGGATTTACTTCAGGGTAACTCTAGTCTGGTTTCAGAGAGCGGATACCACCAGTGGCTCTGCTATGTTCTCCAATTAAGCTTCATGCACAAGTTTAGTTTGCAAGCTCTGCCGCATGAAATACAGGAAGGGGTTAGATGAATGCAAAATAATAATCCAAATCTTCAAACATTTAGTGGAGTTTAAACAAATATTTGCTGGCAAGTTTGCTGCAGTGAATTTTTCTGGCTCTTTAGATGGGTACTGTGAGTGTACTACAGTCAGGTCTGCCTGGTTTGTACTTGATCAGAGGGCAGAAGTAGACTGCACAAAGCAGCATATTTGTTTCACACTACATATAGCTTAAAATCCTTTTGGTCCTGGAGTCTGGAAAGCAACAATTGGAGCTTACAGAATACTACACTTAATTTGTTCTCAATATTATGTAAGTATGACCCTTCCTTCCAACATCCATCTAACACAAGTATCATTTGTTTTACAAGCTAGAAAAATGAGATGTAGGAATTATCAAAGCCCTTGGAAGAGGTGGAAGTCTACACAGATACTTTGAAAATACCTGCACCTACAAAACAGAGGATTAGTTAGAATTTTCAAAATTTGGCTCTGACGTTGTCTGTGCAACAGCATGCAACTTAAAGTAGACACTTCTAAGTGTCCCATCAATTGCTTAGTTCTAGAGCAACCTCACCCAACCAGCTAAATCAGGGATTTTCACACAGCTAGCCTAAAAAGACAACTATAAACCAAAGTTTTCAGCTTTGCTTCACTGTTATTCTTCAGCTCTGTGCACATTCAACTCTCTTTCTCCATGAAACAGTACCAGATAAATACAGTCCTACAGCAGTACTCATAGCTGCAGACCTTAGACCACAGCTACTGAGAAGATGATCACCACAGAAACAGTACCTTAACATATGGCAGCTGTCACCAGCACCATTGCGTTGTTGGTCACTGCCTTTCTGACAGATAGCATTCTCACAGCTCAGCTAGCAACATAGGTAACAACAAAACTGCACCTGCATCAGGCAGCATCAGCTACAGTAAATCACTGCTGAAGGAGGTTTGAGCCAAATCATCTGACTTTGCACTGAAGCAGCTTTGGAGCATTCATATAATATGCTCTTCTAGCAAAGACCACGTGAGAGCCATCATTTCTGGAAAGAGGGAGAAGCACGTAACTGGAAGGGGAAGGGATCCTCAGCTGCCACTACCATTTTTACTGTGATCATCTTACTAGAGTGTAATGAGTATTTGAGAACGTTGACTTCCACCGTTTGTCAGCACACACAACAGCAGATGTAAAATGATGCTTCAGGTACAGGACTAACTCCAGGATATACTGTAGCACAGGGCTAGCCTCATTACCCACAACTGCTGTCCGGCACTCATTTCTACTACTGC